GCAACCTCCGCCTCCTGGGTTCAGGCAATTCTCCTGCCTCAGCCTCCTGAGTAGCTGGGATTACAGGCACGCACCACCATGCCCAGCTAATTTTTTTTTTTTTTGTATTTTTAGTAGAGATGGGGTTTCACCATGTTGACCAGGATGGTCTGGATCTCTTGACCTCGTGATCCACCCGCCTCGGCCTCCCAAGGTGCTGGGATTACAGGCGTAAGCTACGGCACTCGGCCTCTTTTTTTTTAAATTGGTTTTCTTTATTCAAATTTTCTAAGTTCTTTTTTTTTTGAGATGGAGTCTTGCTCTGTCACCCAGGCTGGAATGCAATGGCGCTATCTTGGCTCACTGCAACCTCCGCCTCCCGGATTCAGGTGATTCTCCTGCCTAAATCTCCTGAGTAGCTGGGATTACAGGCATGTGCCACCATGCCCGGGTAGTTTTTTATATTTTTAGTAGAGACAGCGTTTCACCATGTTGGTCAGGCTGGTCTCGAACTCCTGACCTCATGGTCCACCCACCTCAGCCTCCCAAAGTGCTCAGATTACAGGCTTGAGCCACCGCACCCAACCCAAATTTTCTAAATTCTTATCTAATCTCTTTTTTCTGTTCCAGAATCCTGTCTAGGATACCATGCTACATTTAGTCATCATACCTTCTTGGGCTTCTCTTGGTTGTGACAGTTTTTTTAGACTTTCCTTATTTATTTATTTTAAAGATGGGGTTTCACCATGATGGCCAGGCTTGTCTTGAACTCCTTGACCTCAGGTGATCCACCCACCTCCGCCTCCCAAAGTGCTAGGATTACAGGCGTGAGCCACCATGCCCGGCCTAGACTTTCCTTATTTTTGTAATAAGTCTTTTGTTGTTTTTTGAAACAGGGTTTCCTTCTGCTGCCCAGGCTGAAGTGCAGTGGTGTAATCATGGCTCGCTGTAACCTCAAACTCCTAGGCTCAAGCAATCCTTTCACCTCAGCCTCTGGATTGTTCCATTATGCCAGGAGAATCCTCTTTTTTTTTTTTTTTTTGAGATGGAGTCTTGCTCTCTCTCCCAGGCTGGAGTGCAGTGGCAAGATCTCAGCTCATTGCAAGTGCTGGGGTTACAGGCATGAGCCATCAGGACCAGCCCAGCAGGATCTTTTGATTGTAGATGTGAGATCTTGTTATGTTGCCCAGGCTAGTCTCAAACTCATGGCCTCAAGCAACCCTCCTGCTTTGGCCTCCCAAAGTGTTGGAATTACAGGCGTGAGCCACCATGCCTGGTCCTAGACTTTCCTTGTCTTTTTTATGACCTTAACAGTTTTAAAAAGTACTGGTCAGGTATTTTTTATAGAATGCCCTTCAACTTGGGTTTGTCTGATGTTCTACTCATGATCAGATTGAGGTTATGGGTTTTGGGGAAAAAGACCACACAGGTAAAATGCCACTCTTATCACATAACAAGTGTACAGTGAGATAGTTTTGTCATTTCCCCACTGTATTCTTTTTCCTCTCCCCTTTCCATATGTATTCTTTGGAAGGAAATCACCATGTGCAACCCACACGTAAGGGGTGGGGAATTAAGTTTTGCCTCCTTGAGGGTAGAATATTTACATAAATTATTTGGAATTCTTCATGGGAAATTTGTCCATTTTCCATCATTTATTCAATCATTTGTATCAGGACTTACAGACATTTATTTTATACTTTGAGTAATAATCTAATACATTTTCTGGTTTTGGCCTTTTGGGTGTTCTTTCTGTTGGCCCTAGTGTCCACTTGACACATCCCCATTGTTTGTTTGTTTGTTTGTTTTAACCCTTGATTACTTTCTGGCATTTAATTTTTTCTTCCAGGCATTTGTTTTTAATTTCCTGTCACTTCTTTTTTTTTTACAAGATTTTTGGATGTTTCTCAGGCACACTACATTTAAACAGGTATTGACAGAAGAGCTTCCTATTTTTGAGATCTTAAGAGTCACATGGGGCCCTTATTAAGAGCTTCATGCCTCTTCTCTGAAGATTCTGATTTAATACCTCTGGATTGAGCCCTAAAGATCTGGAATTTATAACAAGTATCTCCAGATGGTTCTTACAATCAGGAATGTTTGGTAAACAGGGAATTAAGGTCATTTTAATTAAGATTTCTGAGTAAAGCTTAATTTAGATAGATAACCACAATTGGTAGGGTTGGAAGACTAAGTCTCTGTAGTTGAAATTCCAAGTGTATTCAAATGCGCTATTGCTTTTAATCCTCATTATTCAGATACGAAGTAGGAAGAATATTTTATAGGTGAGGAGAGTGAAATCCCAGATAAGAAAGTGGCTTTCCTGAGATTGCACAGTGGAACGCACCACCATACCATGATCAATAGGCAGAGACAAAAAGCAATACACAATCTCTTGTGTTTTGGGATTTAGAATAGCATTACTAAGTAAGATGACTAAAAAGATAGGATGTCAGTCTGCTGATAGGACTGAATTCTGAGCAATAAAGATTTATAATCTAACAGTAAAACTGATGTACCTAAGCAAGCCACTGTTTCCAGTACCTTTTCTTCCATCAAAGTGTACCATGTTCACATTTTTTTGAGTGCCAAGTATGTGCCAAGTATAGCCTGCTCTTTTAACTTCTTTTTTAACTGGTTCCTTTTTCAAAAATCTAGACAGGCCAGGCGTGGTGGCTCATGCCTGTAATCCCAGCACTTTCGAAAGCCAAGGTGGATGGATCACTTAAGGTTAGGAGTTCGAGACCAGCCTGCAGCATGAGACCCTGTCTCTACAAAAATTAGCTGGACATGGTGTCACATGTTTGTAATCCAGCTACTCAGTTGGCTGAGGCAGGAGAATCACCTGAACCCAGAAGGCAGAGGTTGCAGTGAGGTGAGATAGCACCACTGCACTCTAGCCTGGAAGACAGAGTGAGACTTTGTCTCAAAAAAAAAAAATTGAGATATAAATCTCCATGAGTTTCCCACAGCTGCCATAACCAAGTACCACAAACTAACTTGCTTTAAGCAACAGAAATTTATTCTGTCACAGTGTTGAAAGCTAAAAGTCCAAAATCAAGATGTTGGCAAGACCATGCTCCTCCCAAACCTCTAAGGGAGGATCCTTCCTTGCTTCTTTCAGCTTTTGATACCCCCAGACATTCCTCTGCTTATGGCAACATAACTGCAATCTCTGCTTCTGCTTCACATGGTTATCTTTTTTCTCTGTGTTGTGTTTCTATATCTTCACATGGGACATAGAGGAAAAAGATCCTCTTTTTGTAAGGATTCCAGTCAGATTGGATTAAGGACCCACTCTATTCCGGTATGACTTCATCTTAATTATTTACGTCTGACTCCTCATATCCATTAGGAATCACTGCCCATGCCCCTGTTTCCAATGCCTAGCAACCACAAATCTGCTTCCTGTCCATATGGATTTGCCTATTCATAGGCATTTCCTGTAAGTAGGAAAATCATATAATAAGAAGGCTTTTCTGTTTGGCTTCTTTTTTCTTTTCAAGACATAGTTTCACTCTGTTACCCAGGCTGGAGTACAATGGTGCTATCTTGACTCACTGCAACCTCTGATTCCTAAGTTCAAGCAATTATACCTGCCTCAGTCTCCTGAGTAGCTGGGATTACAGGTGCATGCCATCACACCTGGCTAAATTTTGTATTTTTAGTAGAGATTTTACTATGTTGGCCAGGCTGGTCTCAAACTCCTGACCTCAGGTGATCTGCCCACCTCAGCCTCCCAAAGTGCTGGGATTACAGGCATCAGCCACCATGACTGGCCAGCTTCTGTTCTCACAATTCATCTACACTGTAGTGATAGCAGCAGGAGGCAGACAAATGCCTAGGCAGATAGGGGAAGGTCCATGGTGAAACCCCACCTTCAAGCCAAAAATAGTCCGAAGGCTGAAAGACTGTAATACTGGTTCCAGATGAAACCAGCAACCCAGAGTGAGAACTTCTGTTCCTATTTGCCCACCCTTTCCCAACAGGTTCTGAATAATGCCTTTCAACCAATCAAATGTTACCTTTTCCAACATTGCCTGTGGCCTTCCCTTCCCCATCGTGTGCCTATAAAAACCCCCAGACTCAGCCATACTGGGGGAGAGGACCCAACCTTCCAGTCACCTCTCTGCTAAGAGCTGTTTTGTTGCTCAATAAAATTCTCTGTCCTCATCACCCTTCAATTGTCAGTGTGACCTCATTCTTCTTGGATGTGGGACAAAAATTCAGGACCCACCAAACACATGTACTCAGAAGGCTGTAAACATTGTGGCCCTCTGCCCTCCACCAGCAGAGGGCAGCCTCCCCACACCACTGGAAGCGATGGCAGGGCCAAGCCAGGCACGGAGCCAAGGTCCAGAGCCAGGCAAGGGCCTGACCAAGCTGTTAACATGCCGCCATCCCTCAGGCTATAGATGGTGGGACTAAAAGAGCTAATTAGCACATTGTAACATCTCTGGTGGGACTTAGTTTTGTGGGCACTCCTGCCTGGGCACCACTGCATCCCCCTGGGGAGACACGCCTGGTCTAGCTACAAGCCCTGCATGGAGCCTACCCCTGTGCTGATGTTTGGAATGGCTGATCAGACCCCATACTTACTTACTGACACATTCCCTCCTGCCAAGAGTTGAGCATGTAGTTGCAGCAGCAGCAGTGGGAGCCATGGGCTGGAGTGCAAGCCAGACATGGCCCAATGGGCCAAGCAGATGGGACATCCCCTGCTACAAACCTGGCAAATGGGTCCAAGAAATATCCTGTGTCTGTAGCATGTATCAAGTGCTTCATTCCTTTTTACGGCTGAGTAATATTCCACTATTTGGTTATAACACATTTTGTTTATAGACTCATCAGTTTGATAGACACTTGGGTTGTTTCTACTTTTTGGTTATTATAAATAATGCTGCTATAAATGTTCATGTACAAGTTTGTGTGTGAACATTTTGATTTTTTCATACCTAGGAGTGGAATTGCTGAATCATATCATAATTATATTTCTTTCTGTTTTTGTTTTTTGAGAAAAGAGTCTTGCTCTGTTGCCCAAGCTGGAGTGCACTGGTGTGATCTCGGCTGACTGCAACATCCACCTCCTGGGTTCAAGCAAGTCTCCTGCCTCAGCCTCCTGAGTAGGTAGGATTACAGGCACATACCACCACACCCAGCTAATTTTTGTATTTTTAGTGGATATGGGGTTTCACCATGTTGATCAGGTTGGTCTCAAACTCCTGACCTCATGATCCACCTGCCTTGGCCTCCCAAAGTGCTGGGATTATAGGTGTGAGCCACTGTGCCTGGCCAATTATGTTTAATTTCTCACCAGTTAGAGACCTATTATACAGCATGGTGACTACAGGTAATGACAATATATTTTACTTTTTTAAAAATGCAAATAGAGTGGTCAGATGTCATGGTGCACACCTGTAGTCCCTGCTATTCAGGAGGCTGAGGTGGAAGGATTGCTTCAGCCCAGGGAGGTTGAAGCTGCAGTGAACTGTGATCATACCAGTGCACTACAGCCTGGGCAACAGAGCATGACCTTGTCTCAAAAAAGAAAAAAGGTAAATAGAGTGGATGATAAGTGTTCTTACCACAAAAGTGACAATTATGTGAGGTAATGCATTTGTTAATTAGCTAGATTAAATTATTCCATAATGTATATATACTTCAAAACATTGTGTTCTACACAATACATACAATTTTCTCTGCTAATTAAAAAAAAATCATCAGCAACATACAGAGGTTGTAATTTTTCTACATCCTCCCCAATGCTTGTTATTGTTTGAATTTTTTTTTAATCATAGCTGTGAAAGGAAAATAAATCTTGGGTCCTCAAAATCACTAAGCCAAAGGGTAAAGTCAAGCTGGGGACTGCTTATGGCAAACCTGCCTCCCATTCTACTCAAAGTCACCCCTCTGCTCACTGAGATAAATGCACATCTGATTGCCCCCTTTGGAGAAGCTAATCAAAAACTCAAAATAATTTGAGAAAATTTTTCTCTTACTTACCTATGACCTGGAAGCCCCTCCCTTCTTTGAGTTGCCCTGCCTTTGCTTTGAGTTGTCCCCTTTTCCAGGCTGAACTAGCATTCATCTCATGTATGTTTTTTTTTTTTTTTTTTTTTTTTTTGAGACATAGTCTTGTTCTGTTGCCAGGTGCCAGGCTTGAGTGCAGTAGCGCAATCTTGGCTCACTGCAACCTTCACCTCCTGGGTTCAAGCAATTCTCCTGCCTCAGCCTCCCGAGTAGCTGGGACTACAGGTGCATGCCACCACACCCAGCTAATTTTTGTATTTTTTAGTAGAGACAAGGTTTCACCATCTTGGCCAGGTCTTGATCTCTTTACCTTGTGATCCTCCCACCTTGGCCTCCCAAAGCGCTGGGATTACAGGCATGAGCCACCACGCCCAGCCCATCTTATGTATGTTGATTGTATTTCATGTCTCCCTAAAATGTATAAAACCAGACTGTGCTCTGACCACCTTGGGCATGTGTCATCAGGACCTCCTGAGGCTGTATCATGGGTGCCTGCTCTCAACCTTGGCAAAGGAAACTCTAAATTAACTGAGACCAGTCTTGCATATTTCAGGTTCACATTTTGGTAACCACAGAGGGATTCTGAATGGAGGTGCACCTGACCTTTGACAAATCTCCTGTGGGTGCTTGGTATCAGCATGAGCTAACTTTATGATTCAAACCAATAGGACAATTTGTTGAGATCTGGGAGCACCCCCTCCAGAGGATATCTAAAGTTTATTTTGCTGTACAACTGCACTCTCACACCTTTTTTTGATTGTTTGTTTGTTTTACTTGCTTCCAACAGGAATGCAAGATTTCTTGCTTCCATGATGATGGAAGGCAAGTAACTCCTTTATAGAGTTTGAGCTTGCTCCCAGCAGGGAAGACGAGTTCAAGTTTTTTCCTGCTTTAAGGATGGTAAGGAGCAGTCAGTCTTCAGCCTGAGACTTATCCCTAGGTAAGTAGCTGAATTGTCTTGGATAAAGTTTAACAACCAGCTGGTCTTAATTTCTCCTTATCATTAGAGCACTCAGTGACCAAGTCTACCTGGCTTCATTAAACAAGAGGGAATTCCAAAGCCTCACTAATTTGGCTAAAATTCCTTGCAGCTGCAAAAGAGGGGGGAAAAAAAACCCATGTGTTTGGTTTCTGTGTTTGCTTCCTCCTAAAAAAAAAAATGTTCTTTCATTTACTTTTCTTCCACCCTATACCTTCTTCCCTCTTTGCCATCTGCAGTACCAAAAAATCTAGAGAAGGCTTCTAATAACTTGAATCCCTTTAAAGAATTCAGAACAAGGCACTACTCACCCCTTTTAGGGTGTTCTGTTTTCCTTGTGGCGTTTCAAGAGTCATGGGCAGATTCTTCTTAGGTCTAAAGTTCTGTTTTCCTGTATTACATTAGCTGACCTCTTTGGCTTTGCAGGCACCAAAGATGACCTTGTACTGTGAGAGGATTTGACCCTGGCATGTGAAATGAGGAACAAGAGCTAGAAAGATAGGGGTGGCTGAACACAGTTTACAGGAAGTGGTCGTGGCTGTTGGGTTTTTTTTTTCTCTCCTAGGAAGTTGTTTAAGGATTCTAAGTTCAGAGATGCATTCTAAAGGGTCTTCTCTGTTGCTTTTTCTCCCAAAATTAATATTTGGCTTGTCTGTGAACATTTGCCTGAGGAACTGAACTGTTGTTTTCATAGGTAAATGAGATACTGACTTTTCTCAGCTCAAAAGAAAAAGGGCATTTTGCTCCTCCCAGACAAAAGGAGCCCCTGGGTGATCAGGGGCCTCATGGTAGTGTCTGGGGGATTGACTCTCCAAACGATGTGCAATGTCCCTACAGGGAAATCCCCAACAAAAATTAATTTTGCAAAGGGCAGCTGGGTGCGGTGGCACATGCCTGTAATCCCAGCACTTTGGGAGGTTGAGGTGGGCGGATCGCCTGAGATCAGGAGTTTGAGACCAGCCTGGCCAACATGGTGAAACTCTGTCTCTAATAAAAATACAAAAATTAGCTGGGTATGATGGCAGATGACTGTAATCCCAGCTACTCAGGAGGCTGAGGCAGGAGAATTTCTTGAATCTGGAAGGCAGAGGTTGCAGTGAGCTGACAGTGACAGAGATCATGCCACTGTCCTCTAGCGTGAGTGACAGAGCAAGATTCTGCCTCAAAAAAAAAAAAAGAGAGAGAGAGAAAGAAAAAGGCTTGTCCAGGAAACGTATATGAGGGCTGATCACCCAGCCTTTGGAGCCCTCTCAGAGGTCATAGAACTTTGGAAAGAGAAACTGAGATACATAAGAGGGTGGAAACGACTCAGTAGTGACACACTGGAGTCTCGCTCACTAGCAGTACACATGAATCCACCACACAAAATCCTTAGGCCACAGCTCAGTTCCTCCTTTTACGAAAATAAGTAGGAAATGACCAGGCATAGTGGCTCATGCCTGTAATCCCAGCACTTTGGGAGATGGAGGTGGGCGGATCACAAGGTCAGGAGTTGGAGACCAGCCCGGTCAACATGGCAAAACCCCATTTCTACTAAAAATGCAAAAATTAGCCTGGCATGGTGGCAGGCACCTGTAATCTCAGCTACTTGGGAGGCTGAGGCAGGAGAATCACTTGAACTCAGGAGGCAGAGGTTGCAGTGAGCCAAGATTGTGCCATTGCACTCCAGCCTGGGTGAATAGAGCAAGACTCCATCTCAAAAAAAAAAATAAATAAATAAAAAAAATAATAAAAGATAAAGAAAAAGAAAAGAAGTAGGAAACAAATAATCTAAGAATGAGGAGAAAACAAGGAGAATGGCCCACTTTTAAGTAATCTGTAGATTTCATGGCACCTCTACTTGCCAGAGTTTGTGTAAAATGGAAGTAGTATGGTCTTTGTGCACATTTACATAAAGGAAAAAGAGCCCTAAGATATGTTTTGGGAAAGGACTGTTATCTTTGTTTCAAAGCTAATTTATAAACTAAGTTCCTCCCAAAGTTAGTTTGGCCCATTCCTAGGAATGAAAAAGGACAGCTTGGAGTTTAAAAGCAAGGTGAAGTCAATTACCTCAGATCTTTTTCACTGTCTCAATTATAATTTTGCAGTGGTGGTTCCATAACTTCCACAGTTTTCATAAATAATCTGGGTAAATAATTAAAATAATTAGAATCTTTAGAATCTAAAGTTATATTAAATAATATAGCCTGGCACAGTGGCTCATGCCTGTAGTCCCAGCACTTTGGGAGGCTGCCTGGCCAACATAGTGAAACTCCATCTTTACTAAAACTATGAAAAAAAATTAGCCAGGCATGGTGGCAGGCGCCTGTAGTCCCAGCCACTTGGGAGGCTGAGTCAGGAGAAGCACTTGAACCTGGGAGGCAGAGGTTGTAGTGAGCTGAGATCACACCACTGCACTCTAACCTAAACAACAGAGCAAGACTCTGTCTCAAAATAATAATAATAAATAGATATTTTATTATTTGAGTATTTTCCAATAAAATTATATTATAGAAAAACATTCTTTCTGAAAAAAAGTGTGTCCTTTTTTTTTTTTTTTTTTTTTTTAGACAGAGTTTCGCTCTTCTTACCCAGGCTGGAGTGCAATGGTGCGATCTCGGCTCATTGCAACCTCCGCCTTCTGGGTTCAGGCAATTCTCCTGCCTCTGCCTCATGAGTAGCTGGGATTACAGGCATGTGCCACCATGTCCAGCTAATTTTTTGTATTTTTAGTAGAGACAGGATTTCACCATGTTGACCAGAATGGTCTTGATCTCTTGACCTCGTGATCCACCTGCCTCGGCCTCCCAACATGCTGGGATTACAGGCTTGAGCCACTGCACCCGGCCCTTTTCTTTCTTTTGACAGAGTTTTGTTCTTGTCATTCAAGGTGAAGTGCAATGGTGTGATCTCAGCTCACTGCAACTTCTGCCTCCTGGTTCAAGTAATTCTCCTGCCTCAGCCTCCTGAGGAGCTGGAACTACAGACATGTGCCACCATGCCCGGCTAATTTTTGTCTTGTCAGTAGAAACAGGATTTCACCATATTGACCAGGCTGGTCTCAAACTCCTGACCTCAGGTGATCCACCCACTTTGGCCTCCTAAAGTGTTGGGATTACAGGCCTGAGCCATCACACCCAGCCAGATGTAGTAATATTAATAGTTCATTATTACTTGAGGAGGGGGACAAAAGGGAGAAAAGTGAGCCACTGTGCCCAGCCTATCAGGTGCTCTGGAATGCAGGTTTCTGATAACTTTGGAGATTGTGACATCAGAATAGAGGGAAAACTTTCGGGATTCATGGAGATCTGAAATATTTATGAATATTAAGTACAACAGGAATTAAATGCATGGACTGAACTGATAGAGGACTGAAGTAAATCTTTTTGACTTTTTGCTTGAAACGTTACTGATTTTTTGTTTTGTTTTTTTCAGAATCAAGGCACTGTTTCTTTTGAGCTATTGACAACTTTTAACGTGTTAGTATACTCCTCTGAACAAAATTTGGAGTGTGTTTGTTTCTCTCTGCCTGATTTCTCCAGAATTTGGAAGCTGTTTGTGAGCATTCTTAACTTATGACAATACAGTTATTTGCATAAGTGCAATAAGAATCTGTGTTCATTTGTAGTAGGACACACTTGGAGAAACTGGTTATTTTTTCAAGTTGTAAAATAACTTTGACTGGAATGGTGTATTTTCCTTTCCAAATCAAACTTGACTTATGCAGCCAATAAAAACTCCTTGGGAAAACTTGCCTGATACCTTTGTTTACATAGTCCATATACAGGGTTCCTGGCCTGTGGTAAGTAAGGAATGTCACTTTCTGATAGGCCCCAGAGCCTCAAGTTTATCTTGGGCCCTTAAGAGAGGAATTCACCCAACTCACAGGTATTTGATGGTACAAATCCATGGCTGGGCTCAGCTTTAAAAACTCTTATCTAACATTCCTTCTATGGAACAAAGTTTCATCGAAGCCAATGTGAAAGAATGTAAAAAAATTATTCTTGCTGCACTCTATACAAATAATCAGGCCAAGTGTAATACAGCAAATCAGTCTCACTATGATTTGTCTTTAGTAAAAATGGGAAACTGGAGAGAGAAAAATTATGTTTCAAAAACTATAGTACACCTGTTGTTAGATTATAGTCTTGCCTAATGTTTTTCTATTTTTATTATTTTCTACAGTTTGAACTGAATTTTAATTTTTTTTGGCTACAAGTCTTCAAAATAATGTTTTCCATTTTTTTCTTATTTTTCCCCTATTTTTTTTCTGATTTGGAGTCACTGAAAACTAAGCTGTGCTTTCTTAAAGCCCTGTGAACTGAAGCTAGACACCTTAAACTTCAGAATAAAATAACAGTAACCCGTTTACATACATAAGCCACTTTCATACTTGCCTACTGATATATGGACTTGAGAGTAATGTGGCTTATTCAACAAACAAGCATTTATTGAGTACAAAAAACAAAGAAGAGTAATGTGGCTTATATTGATTTTCCAGGATTATTCTTTTGTTTTTAGTTTATTCCCCCTCCCTCCTCCTATTTTCTCTTAATAAGACATGAAACTTTACAACCTGCTAAAAGGAGCTCTCCTAATAACTTATGATCTACCTGTCTACCATCCTGGCCATGAGAGATCAGATGAAGCCTGAGACCAGAGACTCATTTTCTTCTAAAATGCTTTCTCCAAAATATTTTTTAAAAAAGAACAAGGGAAATGTGAGAGGAAAATAAATCTTGGAGTCCCCGAATCACTAAGCTAAAGGGAAAAGTCAAGTTGATGACTGTGTAGGGCAAACCCACCTCCCATTTTATTCAAAGTCACCCCTCTGTTCACTGAGATAAATTCATATCTGATTGCCTCCTTTGGAGAGGCTAATCAGATAAATGCCTCCTTTGGAGAGACTAATTAGATAACTTAAAAGAATGCAACCATTTTCCTCTTATTTACCTATGACCTGGAATCCTCCTCTGTGCTTCAAGTTATCCCACATTTCAGAACCAATATTCATCTCACATATGCTGACTGATGTCTTGTGTCTCCCTAAAATGTATAAAACCATACTGTGCTATGACCAGCTTGGGCACATGTTGTCGGGACCTCCTGAGGCTGTGTCACTAGTGTGCATCCTCAGCCTTGGCAAAATAAACTTTCTAAATCAACTGAGATCTGTCTCAGATACTTCACTCATGTGGAATGGTGTCTCATTGTGGTTATGCATTTCCCTAATGATTTTTTTTTTTTTTCTGAGACGGAGTTTCGCTGTTGTTACCCAGACTGGAGTGCAATGGCACGATCTTGGCTCACTGCAACCTCCGCCTTCTGGGTTCAAGCAATTCTCCTGCCTCAGCCTCCCGAGTAGCTGGGACTACAGGCGCGCACCACCATGCCCAGCTAATTTTTTGTATTTTTAGTAGAGACAGGGTTTCAACATGTTGACCAGGATGGTCTCGATCTCTTGACCTCATGATCCACCCGCCTCGGCCTCCCAAAGTGCTGGGATTATAGGCGTGAGCCACTGCGCCCGGCCATTTCCCTAATGATTAATGATATTGAGCATCTTTTCATTTTCTTATTGAGCATCTATATGTATTTCTTGAAGAAATGTCTATTTAAGTCCTTTGCCCATTTTTAAATTGGGTTGTCTTTTCAGTATTGAGTTTTCTGGTTTTTTTAAAAAGAAAAAATAGAGACAAGGTCTCAATGTTACCCAGGTTTGTGTTGAACTCTTTGGGCTGAAGCAGTCCTCCTGCCTGAGCCTCTTGGAGTGCTGAGATTACAGGCATAAGCCACCCCATCCCCGGCCTTCAGTGTTGAATTTTAAAAGTTCTTGATACATTCTGGATACTAGATTCTTATTAGATATACAATTTGCCAAGTTCTTCTTCCCATTCTGTGTGTTGTTTTTTCAGTTTCTTTATGGTGTCTTTTAAAATACAATAGTTTTAAATTTTGAAGTCCAATTTATCTCCTTTTTCTTTGGTCACCTGTGCTTTATGTGTTGTATCTAAGAAACCATTGCCAAATCCAAAGTCACAGAAATTTACATCTATATTTTCTTCTGTGAGGTTTATGGTTTCAGCTTATATTTAGGTATTTGATTCATTTTCATGTAACTTTGGTATATGTGTGAGGTAAAGGTCCAATTTCATTTTTTTGCATGTGGCTATCTAGTTGTCTTAGCATATAACTGACTTCTTAATAAATAGCTTGGTTGAAATCTGCTTGAGCAAATGTAAAGATATAATGTGTTTGATGAGTAAGAGCTACTGCTGTATTCATTGCAATGCTGAGTTTGGAATTCAGAAATGAAGGGCACTCTAGTGGGTAGAATAATGGCCCGTAAAAAGATATGTTCTAGAACCCATGATTGTGATTTAATTTGGAAAAATAGGCCTTTCTAAGTATAACAATTAAGGATCTAGAGGAGATCATCCTGAATTACTCAGGTGGGCCCTAAATCTAATTAAAAGTGTGATTTATAAGGGACACATAGAAGAGAGACAGATGGAGAAAGCTTTGTGAAGATGGAGCAGAGACTTGGAGTTATGCCACCAGAAGCTAAAGAGTACCTGGGACACTAGAAGCTAGAAGAGGCAAGAAAAGATACTTCCCTAGGGCCTTTGAAGGGAGCTTAGACTCTAATTTCAGACTTCTGGCCTCCAGAATGGGGAGAAAATATTTTGATTGTGCTAAGCCATCAGATTTATGGTAGTTTGTTACATCAGTCCTAGGAAACTAAAACAGACACTTTTGAATGATTATACAAAAGATGAATATGGGCTGGGTATGGTGGCTCATGCCTGTAATCCAAGCACTTTGGAAGGCTGAGGCAGGTAGATCACTTGAGGTCAGAAGTTCAAGGTCAACCTGCCAACATGGTGAAACCCTGTCTCTACTAAAAATACAAAAATTAGGTGGGTGTGGTAGTGCACGCCTGTAGTCCCAGCTACTAGGTAGGCTGAGGCAGGAGAATTACTTGAACCCAGGAGGTGGAGGTTGCAGTGAGCTGAAATGGCACCACTGTACTCCATCCTGGGCAACAGAGTGGGAATAGGTCCCCCCACCACAAGAAAAACAAGCCATTCCTGAAGCTATCACATGCTTCATCATACCTCAAAAGAAATTCTTTCAGCCAGGTCCAGTGGCTCATGCCTGTAATCCCAGCACTTTGGGAGGCCAAGGTGGGAGAATCACCTGAGGTCAGGAGTTAGAGATCAGCCTGGCCAACATGGTGAAACTCTGTCTCTATTAAAAATACAAAAGATAAGCCCAGGCGTGGTGGCTCATGCCTGTAATCCCAGCACTTTGGGAGGCCAAGGCGGGTGGATCACAAGGTCAGTAGTTCAGTACCAGCCTGGCCAAGATGTTGAAACCTCGACTCTACTAAAAATACAAAAATTAGCTGGGCGTGGTGGCATGTGCCTATACTCCCACTATTCAGGAGGCTGAGGCAAAAGAATCGCGTGAACATGGGAGGTAGAGGTTGCAGTGAGCCGAGATAGTCCCATTGCACTCCAGCCTGGGTGACAGAGTGAGACTCCATCTCAAAAAGAAAAAAAAAAATACAAAAGTTAGCTGGGTGGTGCATGCCTGTAATCCCAGCTACTTGGGAGGCTGAGGCAGGAGAATTGCTTGAACCCATGTTAAATACAGTAAGAACTTCTTCAGGGTTTAGCTTATTTAAGTTTCCTCGTTCTTTTTCCCTGCTTTCAAGGCCAGACTTCATTATTCCTGTGTCTCCCTGCTCTGGTCTCAGTAAACAGCTTCCCTACCAGTCCTTATCCATAGGGCCCACATTCCACTCAGTCTGAAAATTACCCCTCCTGCCGCAATGGTTTCTCCTGCCGAAACTGTCCTTCCTGCCAGTGAAACACCCTCCCTGTACCCTGTACCCTTCAAATTAGCCAACTGAAACCAGTTTAGGTTGTGCAGTCCAGTTCCAGCCATTAGAGACAGGACACAGTAGTAGAAACACATTGCCTTAGGAATAAAAACCTCCACTTTTCTTTGTTTGTGGTGCTCTCACCATTGCTCCATCCTAGAGATGCACTCTTCTATAGAAGTAAATTTGCCTTGTTGAGAAAATTTATGTTTGAGTGGTAGTTCTTTTGCAGCACCAAAAATTTGTTTCTAACAATTTGGTAGCCCTGTATGGGGATCCCATTCTCCTCCAGGAAGGGTTCTGGTACTCTCCCGTGAGGAGGCATGCTCTGCTATCTTATTGCAGTGGCCTTAGGAATAAAGAATCAAGACCCATCTGGTATGACGGATAAACCTGGACTCTCAGCAATGCAGGCGGAAAATGTGTGACCAGGTAACTGTGTGCACAGAACAAGGTAAGAAATGCTATGGGAGCTGGCAAAGCATTTCCTTGGTAATCGGGATCAAGGTAGGAAAAGCTGCAGGGGCGGTGAAATATTTCTTGGTTGGAACAAGGTAAGAAAAGCCATGGGGGCGGTGAAGTAGTACTTGGTGGGGCATACCAAGGCAAGAAAAGCTGTGGGGGCAGTTAAGTATTTCTTGGTAGTGATATCTTGGAAGATGAAAGTATGTGAATGAGATGCACAGTTAAGTGCAAAGCAAGTGTTGAGTCCTGATCTGTGGTTCCACAGTCACCTCATACAGTTTAGGGTGGCCCTCCTATAAAGGAGTCCAGGTTGGTGGTTTATTACAAACCCACCAATGCCAAGAGAAACTTAATGTTTCCATGAGGGCAGTGGCTAGAGAAGGACAAAGCAAAAATAGAAGACGTGAGAAATCTCTAGTAGGGGGATTGAGCCTCACACAAACCTCTACTAGTAGGGAAGGCAAGAAATTTCTAGTAGGGGAAATTGAGACTTACCCCAAAAGGCAAGAAATCTCCAGTAGGGGAGATTTAGCTTCACTGCAAAGCCATCAAGATGGGAAGTACTCCAAGTAAGGTAAGGGATAAAAAGGATAAATCTAGCAACAATAATATTCCCCTGATAGTCCCCTAAGCCTAACATCAAAATATTAGAAAGATAATGAAAAGACCTTAGAGAAATTATAATTAAAAGAATTTTAGAGTCTGTACCCCCCCCAACCAAACATTACAAAAGTTTTCAATAGACAACAAGGAAAAGATAAAAGGCCTAAAAAATTTCTAGACAGACTCGTAAGAGCAAATGAGAAAATATGTGGGTCTAGAATTAGAAGTCCCCTCTGATGAGAGACGTTAAAGCTTCATTTTGTAACCAATGGTTGGCTAGATATTAACCAGGAATTATGAAAGATAGAGAACTGAAGAGGTAGACCTATAGAAGAGCTTCTAAGAGAAGCCCAAAAAGTGTATGTAAGAAGGGATAAAAACAAAAGCAAAAGGCAAAAATTCTGCTGTCCACCATAGAACAAAGTACCCGGGGGACCAGAACCTATAAAGAACCTAGACCCCACTCTCTAGGCAATATAAAAGGTATGAAACGTAAAGCCAGGAGACTCAAAGGTAGAAAAAAAAAGAGAGAACAAATGTTTCAAATGTGGAAAATTAGGTGACTTTAAAAGACAATGAATGTCCTGAATGAGAAAAGGAAGAAAAAGTCATTCCACTTAACAACTTTTGAAGAAGACTAGGGAAGTCAGGGGCTCTATCTTTTTTTATCTTGAGTCCCATGAAGAATCTTTGATAAATTTAGAAGTGGGACCTAAACTTGAGCTTATTGCCTTTATAATCAGAAGCAGGTAGCTCCTCAGTTTGTTATCTTCCATCTAATATAACTTGTACACAAGAATAACTTATTTTATCTCAGGGGTAAAAGGAGAAGAGTTTAGAGCAAAAATCTTAGAGGAGACAGAAGTAAAATATAAAAACTGATCAGCTACTATCAAATTTCTGTTAATTCTGGAAGCAGAGACAAATCTATTAAGAAGAGATTTAATGCAAAATTAGGCTTAGGCCTCCAAATACATCATGGAAAATTCCTCCCCTCCCTAAACATGCTTACCACCACAGACAAAAAACACATTTATCCTGAGGTATGGTCAAAGATGAGAATTGAGCCCTACTAACAGAACAGAAGCAGGGAATTCACTTTTAGAAGGAACATTCTAAAATTGTCAGTATACCTCACCGAGTCAAAAGTGTCCTTAATCAGAAGACAAAAAAGTGGCTTACTAACTAAAGAATTTTAGAGTACAAAGC